TTTTTGGTAGAGACGGGGTCTCGCTCTTGCTCAGGCTGGTCTTGAACTCCTGAGCTCAGAACGATCCGCCTGCCTCGGCCTCCCAGAGTGCTAGGATTACAGGCGTGAGCCACCGTGCCCGGCCCATCTGTATTCTTTTTAACATCCTTTATAATAAACCAATAAACTAAGTATTGCCCTGAGTTCGGTGAGCCACCCTATAGCAGATTAATTGAAGTGAGGAGGTGGCCTTGGGAATCCCCATTTACAGCCAATTGGTCAGAAACATAGGTAAAGCAACCTAGGGTTTGCAATTGGCATCAGAAGTGGGGGGCAGTCTGAGCCTTCAATAGGTGGGATCTGATGCTATGTCCAGGAAGATAGTGTCGGAATTGAATTGGAGGACACCTACCTCATGTTTGCTGCAGAATTGATTACTTGCTTGAGGTACGGGGAAAATACTCCATACATTTGGTCATAGAAATCTTCTGTGTTGGTTATTATAGATGAGAGCAGAGGAAGAGCAGTTTGTTTATTCTACTGTACCTGTGGAGAATCAGTTTGCCGATATTCACAAAATAATTTGCTGGGATTTTGATTTGGATTGCACTGAATCTATAAGTTGGGAAGAACTGACATATTGACAATATCGAGTCTTCCTATCCATGAGCATGGAATATCTCTCTTTAGTTCTTCCTTAATTTCTTTCATCAGAGCTTTGTAGTTCTCTTCACATAGATATACTATATGATATTCTTCTTGTATATATTGTTTTGGATTTATACCTAAGTTGTTCATTTTCTTGGGTGCTAATGTAAATGGTATTGTGTTTTCAATTTCAAATTCTACTTGTTCGTTGCTGGTATATAGGAAAGTGATTGACTTTAGTGTATTAACCTTGTGTCTGGCAACTCTGCTATAATTGTTTATTAGTTCCTCAAGGTTTTTTTGTTGAATCTTTTGGATTTTCTACATATATGGTCATGTCATCTGTGAACAAAGACAGTTTTATTTTTTCTTTCTCAATCTGTATACCTTTTGTGTCCATTTCTTGTCTTACTGTCTTAGCTGGGACTTCCAGTACAATATTGAAAAGCAGTGGTAAGAGGGTCCATCATTGCTTTGTTACTGATCTTAATGGGAAAGCTTCTAGTTTCTCACCATTAAGTATGATATTAAACACAGGCTCTTTTTACATATTTTTTATCAAGTTGAGGATTTTTTCCTCTATTCCTAGTTTACTGAGAGGTTTGTTTTTTTTTTTAAATCATGAATGGGTGTTGATATGTCCAGCTATAATAGTGGACTCATCTTTTTTTCTTGCAATTCTATCAGATTTTGCCTCATGTAGTTTGACACTATTGTTAGGTGCACACATGTGTAATAATTGTTAGGTGTTTTTTTTTTTTGAGAACAGACTTCTTTATCATTATTTGATGCCTCTTTATCCCTGATAATTTTCCTTGCTCTGAGTTATTCCCACTTTGATTAATGTTAGCATGGTATATCTTTCTCCATCCACTTACTTTAAATTTATGTGTCTTCTTTAAAGTAGGTTTCTTATGGACAACATATAGTTGGGTTTTGTTTTTGATGCATTGTGATAGTCTCTGCCTATTAATGGGTGCATTTAGACATTGACATTCAAAGTGATTATTGATTGGATTAATATCTATAAAAATTATTATTATTTTCCTTTTGTTGCCCTTGTTCTTTCTTCCTATCTTTGTCTTCCACTCTTTTCTGCCTTTTGTGGTTTTAATTGAGCATGTTATATGATTCCATTGTCTGCCATTTTTTAGTATGTTAACTATACTTCCTTTGTTTACTTTTCCAGTGGTTGCCATAGTGTTTGCAATATACAATTAAAACTAATCCAACTGTACTTTCAAATAACACTGTGTCACTTTATGGTAGTGCAAGTATCTTATAATAACAAAATAATCCTAATACTTCCCT